TGGGTTGAATAGGATATCAGGATGGGTTTAATAGGATATCAGGATGGGTTTAATAGGATATCAGGATGGGTTTAATAGGATATCAGGATGGGTTAGACAGGATATCAGGATGGGTTAGACAGGATATCAGGATGGGTTAGACAGGATATCAGGATGGGTTTAATAGGATATCAGGATGGGTTAGACAGGATATCAGGATGGGTTTAATAGGATATCAGGATGGGTTAGACAGGATATCAGGAAAGGTTGAATAGGATATCAGAATGGGTTGAATAGGATATCAGGATGGGTTTAATAGGATATCAAGATGGGTTGATTAGGATATCAGGATGCTTGGGATAGGGTATCATGACGGGTTGGATAGGATATCAGGAAAAGTTGAATAGGATATCAGGATGGGTTAGATATATAGGGTATAAATTATTGTAAATCAGGTGACATGTCTAGATATACTTAATCTAGAAACTGAGTTACCTGTTTATCTGTTATGTGTTGTAATGAATAAAGTGAATTCTGTACAGCAGTTTGCATCACATCTGGCAAACAACTTTCAAAGTCTGCTTGAAGATTTAAAAATAATTTTACTTGGCTGGCCTGAAAGAAAAAAACAAAAATAATGCACACTTGAAACACATGTATTGTTATCACATAGTTGCAATTTATGTAAATGGTGATTCCTTAGAATTGCAACAAAAGTGGCACATATAACAATAAATGGTGGAGGATTCCCAGAATCTGGAATTAATTAGCTATATATGCATCCTGGAATGATACTGGTATTGTCATCATAGCTAAATATCACTGAGAACTGGTTTTGACAACGTTATTAAAACAATTATTAGGATTTAGAAAAATTATAAGTCAAAATTGGCCACCAGTCAGCCATTTAAATTGAATTCAAATAGTAAATTGATAGAAAAATTGTTGGCTTCCTGGCCACCAGAGGGCACTGTATTATTAATCATTTTCAGGAAGAGCATAATGTGGTTGCCATGGCTGCTCACCTTGTCTTGTGAGGAAGCATTAATGAGTAGATAACAGAGTATATCTGAAGCACAACTTTCACCGCAATGAACACCAATAACTGACAGTAATCTTTCAATCCAGTATAACCTGAAATATAGAAAACTATTAATATAATATAAAATGATATAAAATTACAAATACCAACTTCACAATGTTGACTTCAAATGCGCATAAAATACATGTCGTGTCAGGATCCATTGCAACTACTGGTAATAATAAATAAGTTTATTCTCCTTATTATAACCAATACAATAATAGAATCAAAAACTAAAGACAATGCAAGAACATAAGTGAGAATAGGATTGGAAAATAGCAGTCAAGTGACTGCTAATCTAGTCCGTTCCCATCTTAAATAAATATTCATAATAATTAAGTATTAGGGCTAGTTAAAGAAATAGCGAAAACAAATATATATATATATATATATATAGATATGTATATACATTTTATGTACAAGAAAACACTAAGTTCACTAAGTATACAAAAGATATTTTTTGTATTCTTTTTTGAATATGTTTCTCGACTGTATGGATCTAATATGAGTCGGAATTGTGTTCCATATTTTCAGGCCAATATATTTTATAGAAAATTGACCACATCTTTTCTTAACTTTGGGGAGAGAAAGATTACATTTGTAGTTTTGTCTTGTGTTATAATTATGTTCAATCTGAGGGAAGTAGTTGTGGAAAATTGGTGGTAATCTATCATAAATTGCATCATGCACTAAGGTTCCAATTTGTTGAGAATGTTGTTTATAAATATCTAAAATGCATAATTGTTTAAACAAAAGTGCTGAGGGTGTAGTGTAATTTTTAAAGGCGATAATGCGAACAATGCGTTTTTGTATACGTAAAATGTTTTGCACATTGTGACATTGATATGTATTTCCCCAAACCTCTAATAAATTGAAGATTTAGTTATGGTTTTGGATAATGTCAAACACTATTAAAATGACATTTATTTTTTGATACCATGCTATATGCAGACCCATACACTCACATAGAACAACTGTGTACAGAATAAAGACAAGACAATGATTAAGGAATGGGAACCAAACATTACCGTTTATTTGTGGCAGTTAATATGAATCTACATAAATCATTAGAATGCCTTTGTAATTCCATCAAAAATGGTATCTCTGTCACTTCTGTCTTTCCAAATGACTTGGAATACACGTTTCTTTGTAGATCTAGTAGCAATAAATCCTAGAAATAATTCACACAAGTTATATTATGTGACAGTTATATGGTGGACATGTGAGAGTTATATGGTTGACATGTGAGAGTTATATGGTGGACATGTGAAAGTTATATGGTGGACATGTGACAGTTATATGGTGGAATGTGACAGTTATGTGGTGGAATGTGACAGTTATATAGTTGACATGTGAGAGTTTTATTGTGGACATGTGACAGTTACATACATATGGTGAACATGTGAGAGTTATATGGTTGACATGTGAGTTATATGGTTGACATGTGAGTTATATGGTGGAATGTGAGAGTTATATGGTGGAATGTGACAGTTATATGGTTGACATGTGAGAGTTTTATTGTGGACATGTGACAGTTACATACATATGGTGAACATGTGACAGTTATATGGTGAACGGAATAGTTACAAACTTAAATGATGGACATGTGATAGTTATATAGGGGACACGTGGTGGTTATGTGGTGGACATGTGACAGTTATATGGTTGACATGTGAGTTACATGGCTGACATGTGACAGTTACATGGTGGACATGTGACAGTTACATGGTGGACATGTGACAGTTACATGGTGGACATGTGACAGTTACATGTGAAAGTACACATAACATTTATAAGATTCATGGATGACCTCTTATCTTACCAATATAAGTGCTGCACATTGTTGTACATGAGGCAGTGTAACAACATAGCTCTGTGAATCCCTTTCTTCTAAATTTGGTGCTGCTGTCTCCAGAACAAACTGAAACAATTTGAATGCACCGCTACCAGATTTACATATCAGGTGAACAACCAAAGTGATCAGACCATCGGCTTCTTGTAAAATTGTGGAACTTCTCGCAAACTGGCAGGACAGTCTATTCAGAATGTCAGGAGTTACTGAAAACAGAGAACAACAAATCAGCTGACAAGGACACACTGTATATACTGTAAACCAGCCATTTTGGAAATGATCGCCATTCAGCCATCCTGATCCAGGTGGCAAAAACAAATGCACACACATGTGAGACATTATGTTTATGAGGATTGAATGTGACTAGTCCACAGACTTGCAATCTTCACTCCAGCAAAATGTTGTGTTCTAACTCACAAAACACAATCCCTGGTCACATGGGATTCATTTTCAGGGTTGTTAGCATTAATATTGAATGATATTTTATTTTTAGAAACTAACATGTATACAACACTAACAAAAGTCTTAGTTATGTCAACACTGGCTAACAGGGTAAACTATATGCATGGACAATCAGTCAGTGACCTCAATGTGTTCAATTATTAAATTCTTGTGCAAGGTGACAGTGCAGTGGCTTTTGCCTCCCCATTGAATCTGTGACATACATTGTACTTATCCAAAGTACAGTGGTCTTTGGCCTCCTCATTGAGTATGTAGCATACTTACCCATGGTACAGTGGCTTTAATCTTCCCATTAAGTATGTGGCACACTCACACAGGAGACAGTGGATTCACCTTTCCCAATGAGTCAGTGGCACACTCACACAGGAGACAGTGGATCCACCCTTCCCAATGACTCAGTGGCACACTCACACAGGAGACAGTGGATTCACCTTTCCCAATGAGTCAGTGGCACACTCACACAGGAGACAGTGGATTCACCTTTCCCAATGAGTCAGTGGCACACTCACACATGGTACAGTGGGCTTTGGCCTCCTCATTGAGTCTGCAGTACACTTACATAGGGGACATTGGATTTGGCCTCCCCATTGAGTCTGTAACACCCTCATTGAGCATACATTGGCTTTGTCATTACCAGTAGGTCTGTGACACACTCACCTAGGGTTGAGGGTCGACCCATTTCTGTATTCAACCCAGTGCAGTTAGGATTTGAACAAAACTTACTACGCTACCAGTAATAGGATTGTTAACTTATTTACTTACAGCAATCTACCAGGTCCGTTGTGATGACTTTTAATAACATTGGTGACATAGAAGCCAGCTGTAGTAGGAATGGAACTGTGGATAACTGCTGCTCATCATTACTCTCTAAACTCACCTGCAATAATTAAGGTTACATGAAAGATAAATAGGATAAGTAATCATGACTGCCTACTTTATGTACAGCAAGACCAGATGAGGAAAGTTATATATTTAACAGGTGGTCATGTTTGCAGAATTTCTCAAAAACAATTCTCTCAGTATATTGCTGTATGAGTTTTGGAAAGTTACATATAATATACATCATTAAATTTTATTGTTCTTTCACATCAATATTCCAAAGTGGATTTGATTTCAATAAAGATATTATTATTAATTATATTATCACTCACTGTATTTATTTGTTTATTTGTAACATGGACACATAATTGGTTTTTCAAAACAAATGTTCTAGATGGATATTTGTAATATATTGACATGCCATAATATCAAATTCAGATTTACACAAACGCCGGTGCATGTGTTAATC